ACAACTGTAAATAGTGGATAAACAGTGACGAGTGGTGAATGAATGAATAGTCGTATAGGGTCTCACCGGCTTCAGTTTATTCTTGTTTGAGGAAGTATATGTTATATATTATTATCCTATACAGAAACATAGGTTCATGGACTAATAGGGTAGCTATAGCTAGTAGCAGCGTTTTATTTTAAATAGACATATATGAGTTTATTATATTAGTATATGGACAACAAAACAACCTCCATGTTAATTATTAAGGCCTAGAATTCAACTTGTTAATAAAAAACATAAAACTAAAGTACCCCCTCTACATGGTGATAAATCACCCACTGCTATTTAGTATTTACACAAAAATTAACCAACAAGTACCCTAGTATCTTTTATTTGTCTATTACCAATACATGCCATTATTAAAAATAACTCATTTATATTTATCTAAGTGATTGAATATTTGTCTTGAAATAAGAAGAGACCAAAGGTTGTGATTCAAATTATCTTGAAATAAGAAGAGGCCAAAGGTTGTGATATCTTTTTTATATAAAAAATAAGAGCTTAAAAATAAATATAGAAGAAATTTCACAAGAAAAGACACAAAACGTGGCAACCAAGGAAGGCATTATATGTAAAGCTAATGGTAATTGATATCCGACGATGAAAAGGAATGCTGACGCCTGACGGAGCCATTAATATATATGCAGAGCAATATGTGTAAGTGTTGTACAACAATATATAGATTTTTTTAGCAGAATTGTACAATAATAGATGAGTTATTGTATAAGGCTTGGATGGGCCCATATATGATTTGTATAGCTAGAGGTCACGACGTTAACTAACTAAGAAACAGAGATGTAGGGTGCTCATGGTGGAACAACTATTTCTTGTTGCAACAAACGCTAATAAGGCCATTGTCTTTAGAGTATGATGTGTTAGTAAAAACAGAGTCTAAACTAAGTTGCATAAAAATCGAAAGATACGCTAGCCACGCGGTGCTCATGGGTCTCCTTGCTAGTTTAGTTGTAAATAGTGAAATACTCCGTACATACAAAAAGACTCGAAAAAAGTGTCATCCTAAATGAAACCGTGTGTTCATAAACCATGTTCGTTTGATCGTTTATGTGGCTTATAAGCCGGCTAATGCTGTTTTGTTGTGAGAGAAAAATATTGTATTATGGCTGATAAGCATGGCTGATACGATCAAGCAAACAGGGTGATAGTAAATGAGGCCTTGGCAATTTGCTGATTCTTTTGCCAGATTTCAAATAATTGGAGGGCATTAGTTTTACAATAATCTGCTGAGGGAGAAAAAAAGAGGTAGCTGTTGCTGCTGCTGCTGCTTAAGCTACAGTGAACACCCCTAAGAGCAAGGCTAATAATGCAGCCGGCTGCTGATAATATGAATTCTTATAGCCTAACTCTTAGCCCACCCTATACATATAGGGTGTATTTGGTTCATGTTTTAGTCGTGGCCTGACTAGCCAACTAAGCCAGGGCAACACAAGCCTGGCTCTCTCAATGCAAGGGGTTCTTGTTTGGTTCACTTATCTTAGGCTTACTCATACCACGTTTGGTTGGCTGGCTAGCTTGAATACAGTCACCTAGTTCTCATTCAGGTAAGATTACCTCATCGAGCCATTCAGTCAAACAGTTGGTGAGCACTCGAACTGTGAGAGCTCCTCGCAAGTCCAGATGCAGGGGAAGCAGCGAGCACCTCCTCATCCAGCATGGTTGCCCGAGCTCCTCACGAGTCCAGATACAGGGGAAGCAGCGAGCACCTCCTCATCCGCCATGGCTGCCCGAGCTCCTCTCGAGTCCAGATGCAGGGGAAGCAGCGAGCACCTCTTCATCCGCCATGGCTGCCCGAGCTCCTCACGAGTCTAGATGCAGGGGAAGCAGCGACCACCTCCTCATCCGCCACGGATGCCCATGCTTGCCTACTTGCCCGTGCTTGCCTGCTCGGTGCTCCTTGCCTCCTCCCCAGGCCACCTCCTCGCTGCGCAGGCTGGGCTCGACCTGCGCGCCCCCGCGAACTCCTCGCGTGGCTGCACGACAGCTCCAGCAACGATGTGACTGTCAGCGGCACCCGCTGCAGCCACCTCTGCTGGCCGAGCAAGACGCCATGTGCGAGACGGCCGCCGCACATCTGCTGGCCGCGCGAGACGGCCGCGCATCAGGCTCCGGGGAGACGGCCGCCGCGCATCCGCATCCGGCCGCCGTGAATCCAGCTCTGCCGCGCATCCGGCTCCGGGGCCTCATCCACCGGCGCCGCCACAGCTCGCGCTCGCGTGGAGGACGACCGACGGCGTTGAGGAGCGCCGCTCGTAGGGGAGGTGACGCGATTCTTTTCCAACACTGCGGACAGCTTAGCCAAGCCTGGCTTCCGGGGAACGGCCACCCGCCGCGTTTCCACGGGGCCTAGGTAAGAGGCTCCAGTTGCATTACCTAAACGTAGCTAGAAGCATAAAACAGGCAACCAAACCGACTGCATCCAGAAAGTCTGGTTGAAAGCTAAGCGTGTGTCTAGTTACCCAAAATTTAAACTTTGACACTATAAAAAAAAAAGATTCTTTGTCACATCAAATTTACGGTATATGCATGAAGTACTAAATGTTGACAAAATCAAAAACTAATTGTACAGTTTGTTTGTACTTTGCGAGATGAACGTTTTGAGCCTAATTAGTCAACGATTGAACAATTATTACCAAATACAAACGAAATACTACAGTGCGCTACAGTTATTACGGCGCCGCCAACTTTGAGCACCTAAATAAGGGCTAAGCCATCCAACCAAACACACCCATAACAGTTACATCTTCACTATTAATACATGGCTCACTTATCTATCTTAAAAAGTTTTTTTATTCTTATATCAAACTGACTGTAAACTTACAGCCTGTTTCTCCTCTCTCTCATCTTTTTCCTCCACCTCAACGTACAGACTGACTTACAGCCCTTTACTAGGTCCTAGTCGTGGGCTGTGATAGTCGAGATCAATTAGAGCAAGGCTAGAAACTGCACGGCCTAGATGTTGCATGTATTCAGCCATTCACGTTGGTAGATGAACCAACAACTCATCAAGTGGGCGCATGCGCATTGAATGCAGCAGGTGAATAAACGAGAAGAGCATATACTGTAGGCCATCTACCGCCACCGTCCACCACTTTGGTGAGGTGGACAAACATTTAATGCTTGTTGTCCTGTACAAAAGGCACGCCGTCTAGGCGGCCTCACAGCGTGTCCACGTAAGCTTCATTTGAGTAGTACGTTGGATAGAAACTGCACGGCCTAAATAAATCACTATGTTGTCCTTGCATGCATTCAGTCATTTACGTTGGTAGATGAACCAACAACTCATCCAAGTGGGTGCATGCGCATTGAATGCAGCAGGTGGATAAACGAGAAGAGCATGTACTGCAGGCCATCTACCGCCACCGTCCACCACTTTGGTGTAAGCAGGTGGACAAACATTTAATGCTTATTGTCCTGTACAAATAGAAATTTACTACCAGTAAGTTCAAAAAAAATAAAAATGTATTATTAGTAAGTAAAAATAGGTCGTGACTTTTAGGATCATAGTATTACCACACATCTCTCCAGCTAAATTCACGAGAGACATATATTATGTAACTAAACTAACAGTACTTACTTTACACCCTGTATGGCAATATGTTTTTTTATGTTTGGAGAAGGTCGAAAGAAGGTGGGCACATTTAGGCCCCGTTTAGTTCCATCCAAAAACCAAAAATTTTTGCGCAGTATCCGTCACATTGAATCTTGCGGCACATGCATGGAGTACTAAATGTAGACGAAAAAAAAACTAATTGCACAGTTAGGTGAGAAATCGCGAGACGAAACTTTTGAACCTAATTAGTCCATAATTAGACACTAATTGCCAAATAAAAACGAAAGCGCTACAGTACCCAAAATCCAAAAAATTTAGATCTAAACACGCCCTTAATGACATCCTTTACATGCAGAGATTTTTTACACGCGCGAAGTAGGTCGAAAGCAGGTGGGCACATTTAATGACTCTCCTTTACATGCAGAGATTTTTCACACGCGCAGAGACGTCTGCTCCTCTTACAACTTCGCATGCCTACCGAGGCTTATCTTGCCTATATAAGCATGTGCCATTCGTTGGTTCATCGCACCCTCACCCCTCCCAATATTTGCTTGTGTTCTTGTTGTAGTTCATATCTAAGGAATCAGTGGTTGTGTCCTCACTGTGAGTTCATCACACCGCTCACCCCTCCCAGTGTTTATAGGTGTCCTCGTTGTAGTTCATATTTGAGGAATGAGTGGTTGTGTCCTCATTGTAGTTCATACCTAAGGAATCAGTGGTTTTGTGTTGTTGGTGTTGGTCTTTGTTTACACAAGAAACACCTTTAACAAGAACAGATTGCATAACAAAGACTACGTGATAGGTCTATGTTGCGAACTCGCACGAACAGATGATTTTATACTTGGAACGTGCACTTACTGAGTTGGCGCTTGATTATGCTTGTAGCAAGTGGCTGGACGAATGCTTTATACTTTGCTAATTGAACTGCCAGGTAGTATCACATCACTCTATCTCTGGCTGCGCCTTTAAAACCACACCCTCTACCCCATTTATCTCTACACCGCACCATCGCTCTGCCATCGTTGTTGTTTCTTGCACGCTGCAGGTGATGAGCTATGGTTGCGGCAAGCAGCAGCGTCGCATCAGCAGTGAGGGGATGTTGCTAGCAGCACCGCGGGGGGCGTCCGTGTCCTACTACGGTAACAACAATCATGCTGTTCGCTTAGCTTATAAGACGTACTTTTTTCATCCAACGATCAGCATTTTTCTCTCACAACAAATCAGCCAACAGTACTTTTAGCCATGGCTTATCAGCCAAGTGAACAGGGCGAATATCTGCTCACCGTCGCACGCAAAAGGGCCTAGCCTGGACGAGCGTGAGAGAGCGGCTCTAGGGAGGGTGTGCTACGGAGATCCGCATCCGCGCACCCAATTCAGCCTGTGGATCGGCATGTTTCAGCATGCCCTTCAGGCGGCGGTGCTGTTATGTTCTGCTTCTATGGTGAGCGCCTCCCCAACCAGCGCAAGTTCAACTTCCCGGCCGTGGCAGCGTCCTATCATCCTTGAACACCTCCGCATCCACCTCACAATGCCCAATCGCTGCGGACTACGACCGAAGGTGTGGCTTCCTTGCACCGCTCGTGTTCCCTACACTACCAACAGCGCTATCGCCGCTACTGATGGTGGTGCTGCTGCCACCGCCGGCGCTGAAGCAACCACCATAACTGATTACCATCATGGTAACACCGAGAAGAACATGGATGGAGACTTCATGGCCACTACTAAGTGTGTGATCTCCTGCAACCCAAATGATTTGTGTTGGATACGGGACCAGAGCCCTCCTCTATTTTGCACTCCACACTCAGAATCCCATTGATGGTTAGGAGTGTTTACTCAGAAGACTGTTTTTTATCTGCCTAGGAAATATTGAGAGGGGCCATCCCTTTGGTTTGTCCTTTTCTTTTTGTTAATAAATATACCTTCCTCTGTTATATCCACTATTTCCAGTCTACAGATAAGGCTTTCCCTGCTATCAATCAGGGGCCAAGCTAGAGTTTGGAGACCCTGCTGCACCACGTTGCATTGGTACATGTAACAATCCATAAAAAGGATGGAACTATATAATTTATGTAAACGAAACCAACTTTACTTTCACCATATGTGTAGTAAACATTACTACCATGTTAGATTTCCAGCAAATGAACTGCAAAACTAGATTTCATAATTATTATAATAGTACCTATTGTGTACCAGAATTGTTACTATTTTTATATAACTCGGGTCAAAATTCAAATTGTTTAAGTCCTCAAAACTCGAAAATTGCATCCTTCTATGAACGGGACAGAGTATTATGCTGCCCTAATTTATTAGGCATTTGTCAAGTGCAGCTTTGCCCACTTTTCTTTTGGTGTATTACTAAATCCTACAGATATTCAAATATAATTATGAAGCATATTTTTGCGTGAGATATTTGCCGAGGCCAAAACAAGATTTTGGTCTCTTTTTTGGAGTACCCATGGAGATTTTTAAGTCATATCTCTGCAAAAAAAAACTTGCTCCAACAAATACTTAATGTTTTAGAGGAAAATATGGTTCGACATGCCATTGAACTAATGACTTACTACCTCCATAGGAAAAGAAATACAATTCCAGGAACATTCTTTGTTGAAGTATCTAAAGTTCAATCAAAATATATAGATAAAAATTTAATGTCCATGATACCAAATAAATATATATGCTACGAAAATATGCCTCATGACAAATTCAATGGTACTTAGTTGATATCATAAAATACTGATATTCTTCTATGTAATACTTACTCAAATTTAGAATATTTTACTTGGATACTATGTTAGAATTGTATTCTTTTATAGATAAAAGGAGTACTATGCTTTTATGAAGGCATTCGCTCAAGTTTTGGCATCGCAATCTTGAATACTTGCGTGCGATTTTTCTGCTAGACCTGCTGTAGTTTTGCTTGGAAGGAATCATAATATATTGTTCTAGTCGGAACACATTCATCCAAACAAAAATCTCCAGCACTCCTGCAGCCTACAGTTCAGCGTGCCATTATTATACTTGCTCAGCTTTAAAATGGTTCCTTGTAATTGTGAAGTATTATCCCAAAACACAGCAGCAAAGACACTAGGAACCTGATATTAGCTACGGGCGGATGGAACTTGGCAGAGCTGCCATTAGCTCATTTTCTGCGTACATTAGGGTTCAAACTTTTGGCAAAATTTCGGCCAGTATTCACGAATTTTGGGTGTTTTTTGATGTGGCCGACATTATTGATTTCGGTTAAGAATACTGTAACTAGACGTCGAATAGGATCTGTGCCAACAAAAATACGTAGGTTAGTACCTTATCTAGAGGAGAGTTCCCACCTGCACCTTGCAGAAGGTGACAGGATCAAACTTCATATCATCCCCCTACCACCCCAACCCCACCCCAGCGCCGCCCCCGCGCCGCCAAGCACTATAAAACTGATTTATTTAATTTCATTGGACTGTAATTTCGGCCGCGACCAACACTAACAATTGAAACCCTGACATACGTATCTATTGAAATGTTGAATAAGCAGCTGCATAGTAACAACAATTAACAAGCGCCTACAAATATAAGAGCTGTACACAAATGATTTTACCCAGCATTTTTGCACGAATTTAAAGTTTACATTTGCTGTGCCAGCACGCGCGCTGAGGCTGTCCACGATAGCAAATGGAATGCTGGCCGTCCAAGTCGTGATGGGTGGTTCTCGTTGCGTTAACCGACGGGCGTAGGCGTCGTCTGGTCAGAGCCCTGATGCGCCCAGGACGTTGTCGTCTCGCCATTGGTCAGCTCGTGACCAGTGGCCCGCGCGCATGGACACGTCCGAAGGACTAGTTGGGGGAAAAGAACCAGAAACTTACATGAGCACCGACGAGGGGTGGCGAGCGCTGATGAGGATGATAAGCGCAGGCTTGCCCTTGAAGCCTCCGTGGGCAGCAGCCATCAATTGTTACCTCCGTGCGTCACGCCGCCGCCAACCCTAGCCTCATTGCGCAGCCACAGCATCCGGTTCTCGCCTCCATGCTGATTGCGGAACCGCCGCGGCCAGTCGTGGCGACCTCGCCTTCGGGGTAGGGAGGTAGGGCGCCAGCACGCCGCTGCGCTGGGGTGCCTCCATGCCGGTGTTGGCCGGGCGCCGGACGGACTGCGAGCGACCGAGGCCGGGGGCCTGAGCGCTGCCCGCGCTGGGCGCCTGGGCTTACAGTGGGTGGATCGGCCGAATCCGCCGGACAGACGACCATCGGGCCACCGGTTCCGAGAGACGCTAGGATTCCCGGCGCACGGGCGCAGCGGCGTTTCGGTGTACAGCAGTATCGGAGACGGGAGGTTGACGACGGGACGACGGTAGTGGGGATGCGGTGGGATTTTTTTTTAGCCTACCATGCGGTACGATTAGGAGATACGCTCAAGCTCTGGGCCTTCGAGAGTTGCTGGTGGGCCAGAGGGGAATAGGCCGTGTCCATCGATGTGCTTGTTTGATGAATACGATGCTAGCAGCATCGGTTTCGTAGCTTTTCAATAGAGACCCTATACCAAGCATATCACCTGCAGCAAAGCGTGGACAGCAGCGGCTATAGGGGGTGTTCGCTGGTCTGATCAATTCAGCCAGCCGGCTGATCCTCCCTCTGAAGTTACTGTTTATCAAACCAGCCAAACAGTATTTTTCTCTCACAACAAACCAGCCGGAACAGTGTTTTCAGCCAAATTTTAGCCAGCCAAACGGGGCCATAATATTTTACGGATTGTTGGCTATATGGATTATGAACACTTATCGTAGCTCACTTTATAATAGTTAGTTCAGCTATGATCGACCACTTTCTCTTAAAAAGTTTTTTTTTCTTATGATTTAGTTGGCTTACAAACCATCTTTCTTCTCTTTTCTCTCCTCTCTTCTTCACCTCATTATTAAGTCTAAGAACATTATCTTACTATACTTGCTCTTAAAAGAATCACGTCAATGTAAAGCTGTTGGGGCAGAATGTCTTTGTGCCAATGTCTGATGTGTCCCAACCCCGCGGTGCAGGCTTAATAAATTCGTCTCGCGGATTAGTAAGAACTTATGTAATTTATTTTATTATTACTATTCGAACACCTTCATGTGACACCTGATGTGACGTCCCTAAACTTTAGCCCCTAGATTTAAACACCGTCATTATTACTATCCGAACACTCACATATGACGCCCCACGTGACACCCGATGCGACACCCCTAAACTTTAACCCCTGGATTTAAACACCACCAGAGTGACACCCCTAAAACTTGAGCCCAGGTGTCACGTGGGGGTGTCACATGGTAATGTTCGGATAGTAATAATAAAACAAATTATAGAAGTCATCGGTAATCCGCGAGACGAATTTATTAAGCCTACGCCGCGGTTGGGACACATTAGACATAGGCACAAAGACATTCGGCCCCAACAGCTTTAATTAATCTGTCATTAGCACATGTTTACTGTAGCACCACATTGTCAAATCATGTACTAATTAGGCTTAAAAAATTCGTCTCGTAAAATAGTCGCAATCTGTGTGATTAGTTATTTTTTAAGCCTATATTTAATACTCTATTTACGTGTCCAAATATACGATGCGATATGTTCTTAAATTTAGGGGAGGAACTAAACAGGATACTCGGCGCTGATTAATCCGGCGCTCTGCTGATGCTGGGCCTGAGGAGAGGACCCCCCAGCTCCAGCTGTGCTGAACTTTTGCTGTGGAGTCGGAGCGAGATGCTCAGAGTCAGAGAACACCTGCACGGCCACGTTGTGTCTCGCAGTCGCAGGCCATCGCCATTGCTGCTGACCTGCTGTGTTGTCTTCGAGACCGCGATCGAGTGCTTGTCCGGTCCCGCCGTTCAGCGTCGTCACACAGGGTTGCCCGTGACCCTGAGCTCACACCCTCACCTCGCTCGTCACTTCGTCGGAGAATGGGTGGTGGGCGTAGGTAGCGCAGCTGCTGGCATCAAGCACCATGCAGTAGCACATGTTCCTCAAAAGGATAGACTCTGAGCCAATCGCTTGAGCCCATACACACCGGATCGTACGTACTAGTGGCGATATGGGCCAGGAAAACACGTCACATGACTCGAGACTGAAATGATGCTAAAAGTGTACTGTTACTGTATATTCGTAAGGCTATCTAAGAACACCGCCCAAGATATCAGACTCATTTGATCTTTGTAGCGCTACAGACAAAAGGTTCGGTACGTATTTTCTCCAACAACAAGACCTAAAAGAGAATTTTTCTACAAATAGGTTTTCAAAAAAGAGGATGTCCATATTTAAATTATACCTCGCAGGTAACCCAAAACAAATATTAAAAGCTGATTTTAAGTCTCTTACTACCTATTTTATTTTTAAGTGTCTATGTGGTTTCGTCGATGGAGACGGTCTAGTAGTGCCGCTCGCTTCTCTGCTCTGGCTGCCGCTAGTCCGTCCTAGTAGGCTAGCTCTCGTCGCATGTTGTGCGGCCAACTGGTGCGTTTCTGTGAAAGGGCCACCGCAGCTTTGCCCTGTGCGAGTCACAGGCAGGCAGAGGCCGGACCGCAGGACGCGCCCTGTGCCCCTGCCGGCCGCCGCATGCAGCTCGCCGCCCCGTGCTGTTGGCTGTTGCTGCACCAGCCTACCGAGCCTGACGTCCACCCAGCCACTGCACTTGCTGCTACGCTTGTGGCTTTCTCAGCATGGGTCTTGTTTAGATTAGGGTAAAAAATCAGTATTTAGTATTGTAGTATTTTCGTTTGTATTTGACAATTATTGTCCAATCATGGCCTAACTAGGCTCAAAAGATTCGTCTCATAATTTACAATCAAACTGTGTAATTAATTATTTTTTTATCTACATTTAATACTCCATGCATGTGTCTAAAGATTTGATATGATGAAGAGAAAGTGAAAAAACTTACGATCTAAACGAGACCATGGACAGGTAGTACAGTACGACGGCCCAATGGAACAGGTCTAGTGACTGCCAAACCCTTGCTGATGCGCCTTGGCATTTGCTTCCTGGTAACACGAATCTTGTCCATTACGTACTATTGAAGCTGCAGGCATGCAGTGTGAATACTAGAAATACTGGGGATCCATCCATCAAGCGCATTCTGATGATGATTTGAGTGGATGAGCCAATCCAATCCGTTGCCTCCAGGCTCCAGTCCTATATATATATATAAATCCATTTCCTGTACAACAGCTTGCATTGCAGGTTCCTGCATGTGTTCACATTTTTTTTTTCCACATGTTATTATGGGGTATGGAACAAGAACAAGCTCACAGGCGGGTGGGCGGCCAGCTGCACTGCAGCAGCTCTCGTGTGGTACAGTATGCACATGCACGCCACGCGCCGGCAACAAGGCCCGCCTGCGCCGAATTACGAGGCCACCAACGTGCTACGTCGGGTCAGTCAAACACACCGCTGACCACTCTCAGTATGCTGCCTGTCATGCGCGCACAATCCTCAAATTTTGGCGGGAAGGATGGACGCACCACGAACATTCTTCTTCAAATTTTACCCCGTTTTGATTTTGGGAGGATGGACAGGCTTCGGGTAAGTTATTTATCCAATGCCGTACTGACTACTGCACGCATCTCCTCGTTCTCCTATGCGGATGAAGAGTCGCCGTGACCGGACTCACCGTGCAGCTGACACAAAGTTTAGGATACGTTTTAGTATGCAATATAGCCATATAGGAGTTCTATGGGGCCTGTTGGCTAGGAGGAATTTAGAAGAATCTGGATGAATTTGGAGGATTTTGTGAGAGCGTAAACAGTGTTTTTCATCTGGGAACAGTGAAATTCGGCTGGTTTTCACACCAGCCGAACGCAGCCATGCTGTATACTCGCTACACTGAAGTACGGAGACATCCTCGGCGGCGGCGGCAACCCTAGGGGCACTGGTGGCCTGAGCGTCGGTGAAGATCTCGGCGAGGAGGAGGCGAATCAGGTGGAGGCGGATCCTGTCGGTAGCCGCAGTCCTAGGGGCGGCGCCAAGAGTGCGGGCGATAGAGGATATCCTTGGCGGTGGCGACAAAGGACTCCGGCAGAGGTGACGGCCATTATCCCAGTGACGGCGGCTGTCCTATGGGGCGGCGAAGGCCTTGGAATCCGGTGAGGCGGAAGCAGATCTTGTCGCCTCGCGTCTGATCGGCTAGTTTTTGACTGGACGACGACGACGAATGAAGGTGGGCTAATCAGCGACACTTGGCGTCACCTAACTTGAAGCGGATGAAGATGGCACCAACGAGGTTCACAGCGATGGCGCACTAGGGGCGACAACGACTTGATGCCTTCCACTCACTGAATCTAGACGCTTCAAGAGAGGATGTCGGGAAGGAGGGATGTGTTTTTCGGTTGTGTGTTCTCCTTTTTGAAGAGGTGTGAGTCTAAGTGCTCTTATATCATTTTGGCTGTGTATATCCACCTCGTTCGGCTGGTTGGTACAACAGTAGATTTTGGATTATTTCGGATGATTCAATAGTATTCTGTGAGAGAGAATAAGCTGAAACAAACTGAAACAAGGAGAGAACATACCAGCCGAACGTGCTCATCGTTGGTGGATATAGAGGCCGGATTAATGAATCTATTATCTAAAAAATACGCGTTGCACTGAAATGACCATTCGCCATGTGATTCCTCGTTGCAGCCAAACCTGAAACCTACCAATATACTTGTAGCCTTGTAGGCTTGCAATTACCTCTCACACCTACCTCCTGGGCCTTTTGTTTTCTTTGGAATGTAGGATTTTCAAAATACTCCAAATCCTACATTTTATAATACATTTGCATCTAAATTACTTATATTTGCCTTTGTAATAGATAATTGAGTAACTCCTTAAGTTTGCATATCATTATTAACAATAAACTCAAATTTAGATATAAAACTTGTCAATATTTTTATCACTGATTATAGTATACGGCATTGTTATATCTACACAAGATAGAGAGTTCATACTAGTTCACACAGAGGATGCCCTACTTCAAGTGCATGTGGATTGTGTTGCTTTGAGCGCCATATGTGTCGAGAGTGTTAGAGATGTTGCTAGGTATGATTGTGTACCGATCAAGGGCTACCTATCCCTAGTGCCTCCACCGCTTCTATTCTTGCAGTCTCTCACTCCACTGGCCTGAGACGGTGAGGACCCCAATCCTGATCTGTTACCACCATGGATGCAAACAACAGTAAAGTATTTATTCTTGTACGAGGATATGTGCCCTAAGGCCAATCTCAATGAGGGTTTTGTGAGAGTTTCATGGGCATTAAATATGCTGTCGTGACACTGTATTGATGAAAAGAGAGATGATAAAACTTTCATGGAAGTAGAGAGAGTGTCAGGAGGATGAAACTATTATGTATTGTTTCTAAAATATGGGTGTGTTAGAAACTGGTACACGAAACCCCCTGAGATTGGCCTAAATAATTGATGTTTGTAATTTTCAAGGGTTGACTAATTCTTGTTCAAACCCATATGTTTTCGGTAGTGAGGAGTATAAGGGTAGTCCCAACCGAGAAACTACCTACTAGTTTCCATAGTTGCTGAGTCATCTAGAAACCATCTATGAAAACAGAACAACCCAACGCTAAAACTATAGTCATGGGTCATCTCCTTCCCGTGACCGATCAACGTTTGTCTTCTCTATCTTCTCTTTCCCGTCCTTATCCAAACGCGGGCAGGTGTGGTAGTGCCCGGTGAGCGCGATTGGAGCTCAATGTCGCACGGCCAGGCAGCGGGCAGCTCGGGCGCTGGGCACGACTACAAGTATGCGAGCGTTGATCACAAGATTTGCCAAGTAAAATTTGATAAACTCTTGGAGATGCTCTAGCATCTCCAAGAGTTTATCAAATTTTACTTGGCAAATTTTGTGATTTGCCAACTCCTAAAATTATATGCCAAGTAAAAAAACAGTCCATCTCCAAGAGTTTGGCATTTTTGACTTGGTAAAATAAAAAAACCCGTTAACAAAACGAAGAGGCCCGCTAAGCGAATGAAGAGCCCCGCTAAGCGAACGAAGAGCCCCGGATGCCAAGCCGTATACGCGCGTGTATATTTGTGCGCGCGGGGGGAAGATTTGCCAAGTTGCTATTGATGCCAAGTTGTTTTGCCAAACTGTTGGAGACTATTTTTTTTTATTTTGTCAAAATTATATGGATGCCAAGTTGAGATAGCAAACTCTTGGAGATGCTTGTCGTTTCTCATATGAGATCGTGGCTTTCACGTAGTTTTCTCTTCTTTCCTCGATAAATAAGAGGCCACATCATATTTTCTTTTTTTTGCCTACTATATGTCGCAGGGTATTTAATGCTATAGAAACTATCCGAGGTGGAAGGTTGGGCCTGCCCTAATAACTCTATTCTCTTTGGAAAAAATGAAAAAGAATAAAAAAAAAGACCTCGGGGATTGCAGGTACCGCCTACCTACTCCACCCATCATCTCTGACTGCTTTGATGGAGTGAGCTCATTTATCTCCAGGCGGTTGGGGAGTTCGTTATACTTGAGCACCGTGAGCCACCGCCATGTGGGTCACGCGAGGCCCGAGGGCGCTTACCAACCAGCCTCGCCGTTCACCCGCGTGGCCATGAAACCGAGTTCTCCTGTACTACTTCAAGCCTAACCCCAAGCCTAACGAACTCAAGGAGGACAATGGGTGGTCCGTCATGTGTGCTGTGCGCCTGTGCAACAAGGACAACGAGCTCCTACGATGACGCTAGCGTTACTGTTCACGCCCTCACTCGGGTTGAGTCGTGTCGTTCAAATGGTTAACGAGGACGCGCGGCTTTGTTCCATCAGTGATTCTTGTGTGTCAGCAGGTGTCACTGACAGGTCAGAAAACGACATGACGTGACGTCATACTGTACTCAGTTCTCAACAGGGAGCAAGTCTTCGTGAAACAATAAGCGCGTGTTCAGTTCCACCCCAAATTTCTAAAAAGTGCTACAGTACCTATTACATCAAATGTTTGTGGTCTGTGCGCATAGAGTATTAAATGTAGACGAAAAAAAAACTAATTGCACAGTTTGGTGGAAAATTACGAGACGAACGTTTTGAACCTAATTAGTCTATAATTAAACACTAATTGTTAAATAAAAACGAAGGTGCTACAGTAGCCCCAAATTCCAACTTTCTGAAACTAAACACGCGCTCTAACACGAAATGGCGGATAGGTTCATACAGACTTGATGCAATAGAACGGACACAGTTGCGAGCTGCAACCGTATACACTAGGTGGAGCACAGCTTGTCTCCCCGCTTACATCCGTGCACCATCAGTGGCGTCACGTAACAAACAAATCACGCCTACTGGCACTAGTGGCAATATATTAAAGACCCACAAGCGAAGCGCCCTTGGTTTTGGCTTGCACTTGCACTGGGGTCATCAAATCGCGACGCTCTAGTTTCCGAACAATCAATCGACACGGCAACAATAACACCTCTCATGAATGAGAGCCGAGCAAATGCAGCTAGAGCTGGCCGTAGGAGTGCGCGAGGTAGGCGAGCGCGCCGACGAGCGGCGCGTTGATGTAGGTGGCCGGCTCCGAGTGCTCGTGGTCGTTCCGCTCGTCGGGGAACCTGTCCTGCATGTCGGGGCCCCCGACGACGGCGCCGACGAGCACGTTGGGGTTGGCGCCGCCCGCGTACAGCGCCGTGAACCCCTGCGAGCACCCGATCCTACCCGGGTGCGCCGCCACGGACGGCAGCGACGAGGCGCGGTGGTGGATGCGGCGCGGGTACCTGGCGCCGTAGCCCACCATGTAGGACATCCCCATCGGGTTGCTCCCCAGCAGGTAGTCCACCTGCCGGCGCGCGATGGCGCGCAGCCGCTGCGGCGTCACCGCCACGCCGCCGCCGCAGCGCACCGTACCCTTGGCGAACGCCAGGTACTTGGCGTAGGTGAGCAGGAGGAAGGCGCTGGACGTCACGTACTGCATGTTGCTGTCGCTGAGCCGGAACAGCAGCCCGCCCCGGGTGTACTGCGTCGCGTCCGTGGCCGTGCCGGGCACCATGGAGCAGATGAAGCCGTCGGCGTGCGCCTTGTACTCGTGGAGCGCGCCCAGGCGCTGCACCAGGAACGACTTGGCGATGAGCACGCGAGCCCCCGCGTGCTTGTTGTCCCACCCGAACGTGTTGTCCGACTCGTCGGCCCCCAGCACCTGCCCGTTCGTCTGGATGTAGCTCAGGTACATGGGGCTCTTGGTGGCGCGGTGCAGCCACGCCGCGCCCCACAGCAGCTCGTCCTGGTACCCGGAGTAGGAGCAGTAGTACGGGCACACGTCCGCCGCCAGGCCGGTGCTGTAGGAGCCCCGGTGCTTGTCCGCGAACTCGAACACCCGCTTGGCCCTGGCCACGAGGCGACTGGCGTAGGCCGGGTCGGACTTGCGGAAGACGAGGGACGCGGCGGCGAGCGCGGCGGCGGTCTCGGCGGCGACGTCGGAGCCCGGGGTGCCGGGGTCCACCTTGTACACCGTCCTCGGGGTGTCCATGTCCTCAGGACGCTCCCAGCACGCGTGGTCCTTGGTCGCGTCACCAACCTGTGAATGTGAATATGTGACGACGACCAGAGAAGAGAGAGTGAGGGGAGATCGATCAGAACAGCTTGGGGTGCCGCCAATGGGCGCAACACCAGCAGCAGTCCACACTGCTTGCGGAAAAGGAAGCAGCCTTTCGTGCCGTGCTCGTTGTACTAGTGTACAACTAGGAAGTGACTCTTTTCTGTTTGACCATGACTCGCCCCAAGAGGAACAGGAACAGGAAAGCAAGAGCAAGACCAGTAGACCACCACTTGCCTGGACGTAGATGGTGTCCGGATGCGCCGTGGCCTTGAGCAGGTAGTCGGCGCCCCAGCGGACCGCATCCCTCGCGTGCTGCAGCTCCGACTTCATGAGCCCGCCGAACTCCACCACGCTCCACGCCAGCATCGTCATGCTGAACGCCATCGGGAACCCGAACTTGACGTTGTCGCCGGCGTCGTGGTACCCGCCCACCAGGTCCACCTGCCCGCCAGGCACACGGTCAACAAGAACAACGCCGGCCGTCAACAAACAGCTAGCACAATGCAGGACTGAATGAAAGCAGAGAGGCGGTCACTACTTGCCTTGGCGGCGGAGCCGTCGGAGAGGCCCGAGTCCCTGCGCCAGGACATGCGCTGCGACGGCGGCAGCTTGCCCGATCGCTGGCCCTCGAAGAAGAGGATGGACTTGGCGAGCGCGTCCCTGTAGTCGTGCGCGGCGGGGCCGTGGTGCCCGCGGGAGGCAATGGCGTCGCCTGGCAGGCGGAGGGCGGCCGCGAGGAGGACGAAGGCGACCAAGAGGCAGCGGAGACGAGCCATGGCCGGCCGGCCACTGGACCTCCTCTCCTCGCTCGCCTACTGGACGGACACTGGAACGTCGCCGCTCACTGTCCACTGGCCAGTGGCCACTGGCTCCTCGGCTACTACTGGCTCTCCTCCCTGGCTCCTCGCTTGGCACCAGTGGCCACTCGAGCGCTGTTTTTAAAGGCGCGCGACTGTTTTTCGCCGTATATTTATTGTCGTTTCCTTTTTCGGTTTTAGAACGGCCATTACTTTTCTCCTGCCATGGCCGCGTGCCCCGAGAGACACCGCCCCCCCCCCCCGAGCTCCTTCACATGGACATGGGCATGGCCACTGGCTGGCATGCGCCAGTGAGCGAGCGTGGGTGACAGGCTCAGCCGCTTCGTCAAGGAAATGGTACCCGTATCGACATATCGTCAGTGGCAGAACACAAAAGGTTTTGCTTTTTTTAAGCCCATTTCGGCGCGTGAAAACGGATAAAAAAAATTGTGGGATAAGATAGATGCCTCCCTGGCTCCCTGGAGACTGCAAACGCGTGATGTCTCGTGTGCATTGTGGATGCCGAGGAGGAATTGCCATTGCAAAGAAATCAAGCACGGTCAGGTTTTGGTTTCTCAAAACGGCAAATTGATTTTGTTAACGGAAGCAGAGCTCGGAAATGGGAAGAGGCAGACGGTTGGCTCAAGGAGCTTCACCGCCGCAGCAATTACTGCAGACGAGGGAACCGTGCAGCCATCACCGCCGGCCATTAAGCCACAAGAGGTGCACTTTTCCGCTTTTTCATTTGAGCTGCATAAGATGCCCACTCTTTCGTTGCTCAGGGACCTCGGGCGCAAGAACAAAAACCGTAGGCGTTGTTGTTTGTCCGGCCTGGTAAAGAGGCTCAGCCCGGCCCAGCTTGCTATGCACCACCCCCTACTGTCTATCCATAAATCAGCTTTGTTTGGAAATTTCAGTTCTAGTAAACTAGTAGATATCTCACGCGCTGCTGCATGGATTACAAAAAAAATGGAATAAAATTAACAACGTGTTTGGTGCATTCTCAGGTAACGTAAATGGAAACGAAATCAATTCACGCGGGTTTCGATGGTGGGATCATTGATTGCTGACTTACAGTATACCGGCAGCAGCGTAATTCGATAAAGGTCGGAGACGCGCAGTATTAGCCGAGATTTGAGCGTTATCTGATTACGCGATATCTCATTACGGACCGAATCGAAACAAGCACATGTATCGGCATCTACTCCCGAAAGTATTCTGATTACGTTACATTTCGCCTTGAACCAAATGCTTCGTAAGTGGAGAGAATACGGATGGCTTGCATTAAGATGTTAGATGTTGCATGCATTACAAAAAATTTGGAATAAAATTAAGTGGAGAGAATACGGATGGCTTACATTAAAGATGTTAGAAGTTAGTGGGATGACGTGCCTATTAGTGAAGATGATGCAGATAGTTAGTGGAGGATGATGTGGATGGCTTGCATGTTGATGTAGACTTGTAGCGAGGAACAACTTGATAAGAGATATAGATATGTGTATTTCTTTAGGATCTATTTGGTTGAACCGTGAGTTGTGAAAAATCCGTTGGAAGCTATGTGTTGTGGTAAAACTGTAAGCTATTTGGTTGAAACCCCCCTCGCTATCTCCTTTAAAACAGCTATTTATTTCCACCTATTTCAAAAAGCAAAAAGACAGTCAAAGTAGGGTCCAAAATACTTCTAAAACTGTATTACAAGAAAACAGCTTCTTCTAAGAATTTAGAATACATCATAAAACATCGTCACAGTACTATATGAATGCATACATCACAATAGTCGGGCAAGCCTACACCCGCCGGCATTGTCGGACAAGACTACCATCACTAACCCTTACTCTAATAAGCGACTAAGCGTGACATATGTTCTAGGAAACACCCAATCTCTAAAACTCGTACACTATCCTACTGTCCTAACCTCGCGGAAGGTAAGGGAAAGTGCTCCTTAGCCATCGACTGGTTGGTGACAGGGGAGGAAAAGAAATTGCAGTGCTCTAATTCCTCAGTGCACCATATCTCATTTTAAAATGAATTAGGAGCCGCCATCATTTTTGGCTTTGCCGGCTTCAGCTTCTCGGCAAGCCAGAGTCATTGAAAATTAAACCTTAACGTGCCTATCCGAGAGACATGAAAATTGTGCCTGAAACCTTCGGGGGTGTTTGGCACGGCTCCTACTGAGATTCATGGCTCATCCAAAACGGCTCTGGCTCTTATGTTTTTTACTGAAAAACGGCTCTTCCAAGAAAATGTTTGGCAGGTCTCCTCTGGAGGAGCCGGAGAGGAGCCCTACCAAACAGGCCCGAAATGAAATCATTTTAAAAACGAAGTGCTCGCCTTGTTATGTTTCTCTGTTCTAGGTCGAGTCGCTTGGCTCTTTTGGCTTGCAATCCTGCTCCTGGTGTAATTGGGCAAACTATTTCTACTTGCATACATAAGGGGTGTTTGGTAGCGCTCCGAGAGTGGCTCCGCTTGAGCAACAACCTAATGCGAACTCGTTGCTCCGCTTCTTTAAGGAATGCGCTGAGAGAAGTCACGAGAGAGAGCACGAGTTGAAAATAGTCGCTTCCCCTCGCTCTTCTGTCCAGGCAAGTGGGCCCTCCCCGAACTACCCCTGGTCGCTCTAACCCGGTTGCTCGGAGGCGCGCGACGGCCATACAGCCATGGCCATCGTGCTTTGCCCCCCTCAGGCTGCTCGAAGGTTCGTCGCGGTCCTACCACCATGGATGTGCCAGCCTTGCCCTATCGTTGTCGCGACCACCCTCACCGGGGCCTTGTCGTCGTCTTGCGGCCGCAGCCGCCCCCTGCCATGGTCGTGCCCGCCCGACGCGCCATGGCAGGCCCCCACATGGCTCCTCTGTGCATGTGCAGTCGTGGCGCGGTGGCGGGTTTGAGGCACGCGAGCACTGTGACGCCGAGGCAGGGTCAGAGATGAGGAAGAAAGGGACGAAGGCTAGGTGTCGATGCGGGACCCACATGATACCCCGCAAGGAACAGAGAAGATCTAATCTAACTAGGATTCTTTCTATGTGATCTTAGTAGTAGTATTATTCTGTAATCCTACTAGGAACCCTCATTGTAAACCGACTAGGACTCTGGCCTCCTGACTATATAAAGGAGGGCAGGGTTCCTAGAGAGGACGACTTTTACGACACAACACTTCACAATCAATCCAACGCAAAGGCTAAAGCCGACTGGACGTAGGGCTGTTACTCGATCACGATCGAGGGTCCGAACCAGGATAAATCGACTGTCTCTTGCGTTCACCATCGAGTTCCGCATACGCTGAAGCCCGAACATACTGCCCCGAGTACCCTCGTAGTAGGCTATCGGTGGTCAAACATCGACAGTGACATCAAAATCTCGAGATAAAATAACATGTCCGAATAACAAGAACAAACAAAGCAAGAGAAATTAAATATGGGAGAAAAATAAAAATGATAATAAAAGTATTTATAAACATTTTATCATTTCTATCTACCAAAGATGTTTTATCAAATATTTTTAACACAACATCGGCTAAGTAGAGTCATATCAAACCGACTCATAGTTCATAATTGCGGCCTCTTTAACACGAGCATGGATAAAAAGAGGGGAATTGCAAGGATTCCAGGGACACGGGTGGGACACGGGTGCCCAATCGCATCTGCGTTGCATTGCGTTGGTTCGACCCAACGAGCTGTCTTGAGACACACACGGGACATGGGAGAGCCACACAACGGGCCTGCTTGTTTGCCTTGTCCGAGCTGGCCTGGACGAACGAGTGGAGCCTGGGTATTCTCGGACAGGCTAGATTGGTGCAACTGCATATTGTTTGGTGGACTTGTATCTGTTGGACCTAGTTTGTATAGATGCTGTTTGTTTGCCTACGCTGGAGAACCCACACATCAGCCACACCCACCAAGCACCTGCGCCCGCATCAGAGCCCGAGCGAGCCGTGCCCGGGAGCTTTCTTCGTTTCCTCCCACCCTGGCCCAAGGGTGTTTTGGGTTCTATGCTGCACAATCTCCAACGAAGTCCAAACAAACAAACAAGCGATGGTGCACTTTGTTTAGTTGGTTGAAATTTAGGAATTTGGCTACTGTAACACTTTCGTTTTTATTTGGCAATTAGCGTTTAATTATGGATTAATTAGGCTCAAAACGTTCGTCTCGCGATTTCCAACCAAACTGTACAATTAGTTTTTTTTCGTCTACATTTAATGCTCCATGCACGTATTGCAAGATTTGATGTGATGACTATTGTAGCACTTTTTGAGTATTTGGTTTTGAACTAAACGTCGCCATATTCCACGGCTTTGTATGTGTACGGCGCGGGCGCGGCTCGTCATCAGTTGGGTATAGCCGCCCGTATGGGCGCGCACGACCAACGTCGGGTCGCCATGACTTTATTCTCCGTTCCTGTCGGAGCCCTCCACTCCACTCCAACTGCGAGACGCGAAGGCCGTGCGTGATCATCGGCGGAACACAAGCCGCGCATTATTCTCCCGTACGTTCTCATCCGTGGTTGGGCCGGCGCATGCGCAAGGCAGGCTTAGGAAATCAAAGTGTACGGTAGGTAGAACATCAAGGCACCGCCGGACTTCATGTTCATTGACTTCATTCGTGTCTCGCCCTCGATCGATCGCTAGACAGAACCATGCCATATGCAAAAGCGTCATGAAAAACCTGTGCTAGAAGAACGGCCCTGGACATGTGGCAACGTGACAACGCGATAAGCCGATAACAGTGAATGATCCACCGAAAGACCTACTACATACGCGGCAATTCCCCCGTGACTGCACTTGCCACTTGGGACTTGGGAGGACAACACAACCTTGCAAGTGCAGGCTTGCGTTGCGTTGCATGCTCCGATTCAACTGTACTTGTAATAGAGAAGTACGGAACCATCCATCGTCACGTGCCTCCCTACCAAAAGGCCGGCTGCACACTCACCAAATTTGACGCCATGCATGAACGTAGAGATTTATACAAAGAAGTACTGTACGTTATTAAGACCCATATAAATATATTAATAAAAATAAGGATTAAGTCATTTTTGATCTCTCAGCTTTTACCTTCGTCGGTAGGCTAGTGGTTACAAGGGCTTTAGATCCTCGGTTCGACCTGAGCGAATATTCTAGGATTTTACGACGTTAGGTAGAACCCCCCTCCCCCCTCTCTCTTGACAACGAGACATCTGTGGTAACTTCGATCAACCTTAAGAATTTGTTGGCCTAGTCTTCGGATATGCTCATTTTGCATGCGTGTGTTCATAGGAGGTGAGTGTGCATGGGTTGTCAGCGTCCATGCTCTACTATGTAATTCTTAAAAAAAACTTTCTTTTGTCTATTTTTCACTCCCAGCTATAAAAACATCTAACTTCGGCATCTCGGCTATCAAAAACTGATAGTTGCGGTGCTAAAGTTAGACGATTTTTACAGTTGAGGGTTAAAATTAGACAAATGCAATAGTTGAGATGCTAAAAGAATAAACTTAATCCTAGAAATAATACACCGATTCATGATATGCACGCTTACATATATGGAACGATTTAATATATAATTGGCCTGGGTCCCCACACACAAAAGAATCAACGACAGCAACACGTACAACCGGATGGGTGCCTTTTTGGCTCTGATGAAATGAACGAATTACTTCCGCTGCCAATCCAATTTATTGCCATCCCTTGCGCGCTCACAAGCCGGTGGTGAAGGGGATGGACGTGCCGGCGAGCCAGACGTCCCCGTCGATGAAGGAGCCGACGGTGAAGGCGCTGGCCTCGGACGCGCTGGTGATGACACGGTACCCCTTCCACTTGACCCGGGCGGACGTCCCGGCGCCGGGCCCCGTGTTCATGTACTCGCCGTAGTAGAGCGTGTCGAGCGCGAAGTTGCCGTTCCACTCGAGCCAGCCGGCCGGGTCGATGAGCGAGTCCAGCTCCGACTGCAGGAACACCGTGCGGGAGTACTGCTTCCACGGCCGGCCCAGGTAGGTCTTGGTGGCGGAGGAGTCGAGGTCCGCCGCCGCCGCCACCTTGCACCTGTGGACGGAGATGCCCGTGTTCTGGTTGGGGTCCTCCCGCCCCTGCGCCGTGAAGATGTTGCTCTGGTTGGGCAGCGGCTTGCGCGCGTACAGGTTGCAGTCCTGCAGCACGGCGGCGGCGTTGCCGAACACGAAGTCGATGGTGCCGTAGATGTCGCAGTCGCGGAAGAACTGCCGGAGGGAGTGCACGTACAGCGTGTCCTGGTAGCCCACGAAGCTGCAGCGGTAGAACGCCGACAGGTCCGCGCCCACGCGGAGCGCCACCGCCTGGTGCTTCGACGGGCCGGCCGAGTTCTCGATCGTCAGGTCGCGTGCCAAGAAGTTGTTGCCCACCACAGCTGCAGCGCCATCCCACAACAAACAAACAAATCGTCAGCATCGGCGACTTGTTTCCATAGAAAGAGGACCGGGTCAATTCATCAATTTCTTTAGCATTCGTTGTCTTGGCCCGTCGAACAAATCTAGCCCAGTTTGTCGAAAACTGGACCTTGGCCTGTTTTGCTTTCCGCACCGAAGGCAAAATTAAATGTAACAAAGATTGACCGTGAAAGCACTTCGTCTCATCATAAAAAATAAATACATGTTACATTTAGGGCTCGTTCGGCTGGTTGAAAAACCAGCCGGATTTTACTGTGCGTGGATGAAAAGCACTGTTCACTCTCTCACAAATTCCTCCAGATTCCTCCCAGCGAACAGGCCTTAATTTTGCCTCGACTTCAATGTATATTTTAAAATATTTTTTCAATATTATATTCTCTCAAATTTATGAAATTTTGCAATGATTTTTAGTACAAATCTCTTATATATATGTTTACAAGCTTGATAATTTTAGTTTTTTTAAAAACAAATCGTAGGAGAGCTAGTAATTATGTGTTAAAAAGAAGAAGAAACCCTCACAATGAAGAAACAAAGACCCTTTCACAATGGAGCAACAAAGAGCCCCTAAAAGGGTCCAACAGCAACAACGAACCAAGAACAATCAAAATATTGTTAATGTTTGTAGTTAAGATTTGACCAAAATTTGCCTAGCAAGACAACATATTTTTATGACCAGTGGGAGAACAACACAAAAGGGTAATTTTGCATAAATGCATTGGTAAGAGCTATAGTTTGAATATAAAATATGAATAAAAATGGGTACAACTAGGTTAAAATTTGGAAGAAAAAATGTACAAACGTTGATATAATTTAAAGAAAGATTTTAACTAAATATAGAACAAGAGTTGGTATAATTTAAGCAAATATTTCAACTAAATACATATTGAAGACATACAAAGGTGTGATGCAAAAGAGTAAAAACTATGAACATGAAGGAAAACAATTTTTTTGTTGTTGCAAAAACCGTATATGGTAATTGGTAAAGTTTCACAACCGAATAGACATTCAGAGTATCTTTTATACGACTACAAAGATAAGCACTTTTGACTCGTTTTAGTTACGAACTTATATGTCCCATAACATTAATTAATTATAACCCGGATTGTTAGCCTATGTTTAATAGAGTGGCACGCAAAATGATTCAATAGCACGCAGAAGTCGTTTCTTTTTTTTTTTAATCCGGTAGCATTTCTTTTATCTATCTTTATAACGCCCTGACGAGTTTTGAATCGCATTCAGCAGTCGGAGGCAGCCCAGGCCAGCAGGGCGAAAGGGACGGGTCGACTAGCGCTGCATGGAAAGCTGTGCGCCCACATGCCGGCTGGTCCGATGCGGACGCGCACAACGCAGCCGTGTACGTCTGCGGCGCATGCAGCCGCGGCAGGGCCCGTCCACCGTCCTAGTCGGATACGGAGACCACGCTGCTATCCTAGCATGAGCACCGACTTGTTCGCACGTACTGCCAGTACTAGGAGGAGGAGTAGACAATATATAGGGCATGTGTATGTGTACAACTGTATACGTCCGGAACAGTTGTGCGCACATGCTATGTCTCGTAACGACTCTCATGGCATGGTCATGGTTCTTCTGTGGTAAACTGTACCAGCGCACAGTACAATGCTGTTTTCGCAAGGAATAGACGAATTAGCATATATATATAGTCATCACGGGTGCCGCTCCTTTTGTCTAGCCCTATAGTATCTGTCGTTCTAGTACAGTATGCTGCTACTGCACATACTATAGTTAAACGCTTGAAGGTCACCATCCAAGTAGGATCTTCCAAGTTTTAGCGTTTGTCTATATATATATGGTAACATTGTTTTACCCTACTTCTACTAATGCATTTCCGTTGGACAAGCATCAATGTCTCATCTAGAATACGATCTCCCTTCTCGATTGCTTCTACTTCCGGCCTTTTTATTTATTTTTTTCTTCTTCTTCCGGCGATGGCATTTGAAGTAAGCCCTAGCACCTCGATTCCTCCTGTCCCCGCTAGCACTAACCGCCAAGCCTTACCACCCCCAAAATTCTCACATATATACTCTAACAAATTCTATCGCAGGATTCCATCATGCATACACTGACAGTAATATGCGTTCGAGTAGTTTTACATTACTGGTTAGCAACAGCTGCACCACTGTTGTACTATATATACCGGTGCTGTCCCTTCCCTTGTGCGTATGCACAAAGCTACTAGCGTGCAGCCGCAGCACACAGTACAATGCTGGTGTGGTGTGCCGCCGGCTGGTCCGGAAGAAGGATGTGATCTTGGCAAGCTACCTAGATTTCTGATCTGTGTTTTCCCGCATATATGTGCGTGGAGTAGGATCTGAGGCGCCAATAATGTATCTTGCACGTACATAGATCCGCCGCTCCGCACGCCATTCAATTCGTCGTGCCATGTATCGGACCGGCGACCATCCCCTGGCTCCCCGCCATGCGTGAGCTACTACAGTTACACGGTTTGCCCTACCTACCAGTACCACACCAGCATTTATGCCATTTATTTATCCATTGCCAATAATGAGCTACTAGCATTCACTTACGCCCGCCAGCACGCACGCAATGGAATGCTGGCTCGTCACACCGACACCGATACGCAGCCTGTTCGACTGGGCTTATACGGTCGTAAACGATCGTAAATTTTTAGTCGAAACAGTATTTTTCTTTCATACCAAATTAACCAACAATACTTCTTTATGATCCAGCTAACAAGCCTAGTCAAACGAACAATCTGACGGAGGCGGCATCAAGCGCCGCTCGCCCCGCGCGCGACAGAGAGATCGACATCGACATGCCGGCCGAGTGAGTGCGTGTGTGCGCGCCTCAGGGGAGGTCGTGCGCAGCACTGGCACTTGCTTTCTCCCCGCCCTGCTAGTTCTTTGCCATGCTCGATTGCTCGTGCGTGCACGCTTTCTTACACGCAAGCGAATCCAGTACACGCGCTATGCATCGTACGTGCTTCTAGTACGTATTACGAAAATCGATCGCAATGTCAAAGAAGCAGCCAAATTGATGGGGTTATTATTTAGGCCATGTTTAGTGCATCCGATTTGGCGCCGTCGAAAATACTGTAGCTACACTGCAGCTACAGTAACATTTTTGTTTTTATTTGTACTAATTGTCTAATCGTTGACTAATTAGGCTCAAAACGTTCGTCTCGCAAAGTACAACCAAACTGTACAATTAGTTTTTGATTTCGTCAATATTTAGTACTCCATGCATGTACCGCAAGTTTGATGTGACCGAAAATCTTTTTTTTACGTAGTGTCAAAGTTGTGAATTTCAAAGGAACTAAACACACCCTTAGCTGCAGAGACCAGCGCAGTGCAGCAGAAAAGGCTGGCTCCGACAGAGCATGTGGTTCCTGCGGTCCTGCCACTCGTGGCGCAAGTTTTTTAGCTACTACAAGACATCCCGGGAAATACCATGCCGACAGAGGTATATACGTACTTAGCAGCTAAGATATGTATGCTTGCTTCCTCCTATACTTTTATACTCTCTTCAACTCGATCAAGATAAATCAACTTATGCAGTCGTTCTACGCTTTTTCAAAATTCTTTCCGTCTTTTCGTTCCAAGATAAATCAAGACACAGGGTTAGAGTTATCCTAAATCATATACACTAGCCAAATACTGTACTACGTAGTAATTACTGAACTCCGCTCCCCAAATGGTACGCGCGTGAAGATTCTAGGTTATTATCTATCTACAGCCTGTTCGCTTGCTTGTAAACAATCGTAAATTTCCAGCCGAGAACAGTATTTTTCTCTCACACCAAACCAGCCAGCAGTAAATAATTCACGATACGATACGGGCTGCCGAACAGGCTGCTAGTTGGCGTGAGTAAATTCACACAGGATCAACCAAAAAACCAAAGCATTTCAGTGTATAGCTGATCTGGTGGATGGCAATGGCATTATGGCAATATCATCACATGCATCCATATGCCAGGACTGCATCTGCATGAATGCCACCGTGCGCAAATTATGCATCGTAAGCCCCATGGACACCATCCAATTTCTACTCCCCGTCTAAATACATTGTCGGAGCATGCACGCGTTAATTCCTACTGCAACAGAGTAGCAGTCATCTACTACTCATTTTCTTTTCAACTGTGGAGTCACCTAAGTATGTTGTTTTATCCGGGAACAGCCGAACATATTTTCAGCCTGTTCGCTCGTTGGTTTCAGCTAGCCTAAACCAGTCAGCCAACAGTGTTTTCCTCTCACAATAAACCAGCATCAGCCAGTCCAAACCAGTCCAGAAACCAACCAACGAACAGACCGTTTATTTCACTCACTGTTGATTTCGAGCTACAGTTTTAACTGCCAGCTACTCCGTAATGAGTAGTGAGTGGGTGCTGTCTCAGGGCGCGTTTAGATCCGGAAATTTTTGGTTTTTGGGCACTGTAACACTTTCGTTTGTATTTGATAATTAGTGTCTAATTATGAATTAATTATGTTCGAAAGTTTCGTCTCGCGATTTCTCACCCAACTGTATAATTAGTTTTTTTTTCGTTTATATTTAGTGCTCCATGCATGTGCCGCAAGATTTGATGTGACACTTATTGCGCAAAATTTTTTTTGGCTTTTGGAGGGAACTAAACGGGGCCTCACTAGTACTACAAACTGTTCGCATTGCAATGATGAACTGGTCTGTCTGCACGATTGATTTGAATTTGGATGTCAACACAAGCAGTACCGTACCGGATCGGATCGATTAATGCACGATGCGATGGGATTGGGAGCAATTAGAACGTAATCAATCATTCTAAAGCATATAAGTACTGAAGTAGCTAGTGTACTTACCGACTGTGGCTGAGCGGAAGGTGGTGTAGCCGTCCACGACGTTGCGGCTGGCCTTGATGACGGTCTTGCCGATGCCGTCGCCGACGAACATCAGGTTCACGTGCTTCTTCCCGACCTCCACGTTCTCCATGTACGCCCCGGCCTTGATGTAGATCACGTACCGCTTCTTCGAGTTGGTCGGCGCCGCCGCCACGGCCGCCGACACCGTCGTGTAGCCCCCGCTCCCGTCCTTGGCCACCACCGCGTCCGCGGCGATGGCCGTCGCCGGGGCCTGCAGCAGCCGCCGGTCGCCGGGACGCACCCACCGCGGGAACCCCTTCACCATCTGCCCGTACCCCGTGAATGGCTGCCGCGCCGTCGCTGCGGTCGGCGACGGCGTAGGCGCGGAGGAGGGGCTGGCGCCGGGCAGCTTCTTGGCCATGGCGAGCGAGTTGCTCACCATGCGGGAGACGTGGTGGAAGGTCGGCTCGATGTAGGGCCGCACCCGCCCGCCGTTCTGGTACGCGAAGCCGTCGAGGCAGGTGTACTGGTTGGTGATGGCCGCGGAGAGCACCGTCATGACGTGGTCCATCGTCGCGCGCCTGGCGCCCAGCGACCGGGCCGCGGAGCCGTTCCCGGACCCGGAGCTCCTGCCGGCGGGGGACTCGAGGTCGGCGGTCGTGGCGCGGAGCTCGTCCATGGTGGTGGATAGCAGCTCCAGGCAGTCGTTGATGGCGAGGCGGTCCCGCGCCGAGAGGGACCTATCCTGTAGGTAGGATGAGCAGTTGGTGGCGGTGGCGGTCACGACGTCCTCGGTGCGGTTCACGGCGGCGCAGATGACGTCCGGGAGGGGCTTCTTGTGCAGGTCCGGGATGTCCGCGAGTGTGGACAGGCAGAGCTCCGGGTACAGCGTGCCGTCGCAGTGCGCGGCGGCCGCGGCCTCCGCGGAGGGGTAGAAGGGGACGGCGCTGGCGGCGGCGTCGGAGGCAGCGCTAGTGGCGGCGGCAGCGAATGCGACAATTAGGAGGACGAGGAGATGCTCGGCTCTCTTGGGTATGGGTGGCATTGTGTCCTTGTCTGTGGCAGCTTGCTCTCGCGTGCAGTGGAGCTGCAGAGAGAGCTTGAGTGTGGAGAGTGGACAGTGAAGAGTGATAGATAGATTGGGGTTTATGGGTCGTTGCTTTGCTATATAGGCAGCTTCGTGTCGGTGTTGGAACCGAGATCCGAAGCAGTCGCCTCGGTAGCGATTGAAACACAGCATGTTCTTCGTTTGGCTGTGGCTTCGTCGTAAACCATCTTAAATTTTTAGTCGGAATAGTATTTTTCTCTTACACAAACCAGGTCGTACTTCTTCACGAACCAGCAATGATACGAACCAACCAACCGAACATATTCGTAACTGAGATTTCGTTTTATATGGGATCCAAATGTGGCAGAATTATCGGTCTTTAATTTAAACTAGCAAACATACCCGTGCGTTACAACGGAGGAAAAAACCCTCAAATATTCATGAAAACAGTGATCGGAACGATACATATCTATTTATTTATGTTTGCACAAAATTTTAAAGCTATAGTTTATTTTAAGATGTGTATTGCATCTATAATATAAGTTAATATTGTCAATAATATGACATTGTCCTATTAATCAAATATCAAATTAAAAATATTTTTTGGATATATTTTTCTGCCATTACAAAGCATAGAAATATTTACTTGTAAATATATCATAATTTTAATTTCTTAATATACATATGTTGGTACAGTTAAATATGAGTTCCACGACTTCCTTTGTAGACCCATAAAAAGTTGCAATTCTAATGTTGGGTCAAAATCAGCAAAAAAGTTAGTTGTTAGATGTGTCAAAACTCAAAACTTGTTTGTCCGCTAATAATTACAATGGGAGTTCTCTCTTGATTTTTCACATGCTAGGCCTCGTTGGGAATTATACTGGACTGAACGGGATAACAAATTGCTCAAACTTCCGGTTTACATTTGATTAGTTGGACCATGGCTGAACCAGATTATAATAAGTTTTTAATTAAAAATTTAAATTACATATCTTGGTGTTGAAAATCTCTGTTTTTTTTAAGAAAGAGGATTCAAAGATCCATGGTATTATATATTTTTTTGTCATTTATAAGAAAAACACAAAAAATAGAAGAACTTACAACCTGAAGGTGGTGGATACGGATAGAATAGAAAATAACAAACATGCCTGTGCGTTGCAACGGAACACGATACTTCTTGAATCATACTTCATACTATTGCTAGACTAGTCTCAATAGGGTTTCATCAGAGTTTCATAGACATTAAATATGCTGATGTAGCACCCTATTAATGAAGAGAAATGTGATAAAAGTTTTATGAAAGTAGAGAGTTTTATGAGGATGAAACTCTTCCGCAATGTTTTTCTAAAATATGGATGTGTTGAAAACTGGGACATGAAACCCCAACTAAGACGGGCCTTGGACACAAGTTGTTCTAACTCATATGAATATAGATCGTGGTTCTGGGTCACATACGTGACATAGAAGGTATAAGGGCAAGGTAGGGGTCGTCCTGGGCAAATTTAACCGAGAACCGAAAACCAAACCGAAAAAACGGAACTGAAACCGAAAGATCCGGAACCGAAAAATTCGGTTCCTTATTCGGTTCCTGATATTGAGGAACCGAAATAACCAAAGAAAATTCGGTTCCTACTCTCGGTTAACCGAATTAACCGAAAGAACCGAATTATATGAATTATACTTCACTTACTTGTATTTGTAAGATTATGTTTGGTTTATGTGTAGTGTTTTATATTTGAACTGCTATATATTTGTGTTACTGTATTGCTATTGTTTTTTTATACATTATTATTATGAAAAATGAATATAGTGTTGCATAAATTCGCCTTACAACAGGTATATTTATTGTTGTCCTAAGATTTTCTGAAAAAATTCGGTTAGTTCGGTTAGAACCGGAACCGAACCGAAATAACCGAAAACCGAAATGCTCGGTTCCTTAATTTTTTGGAACCGATAGGTTCCATTTTCCATGAACCGAATTTCATCAATAACCGAGAGAACCGAACCGAGAACCGAACGCCCACCCTTAGGTAGGGGTGTCTTATCGGATTTGGATTAGTTTACATTTGGAGATGGACCCGAGGTAAGTTTCTAGAAGGAACAGAAGATTTTTTTTAATATTCATGTAAATATAGGTACATAGATATAGATTAAACTGGATGACAAACTGCTTAAGATTAGTTAGACTATTGGTTCATCATGTTCTAATAGTAATAAGTTTTTTCCTAACCAAAATTATATTATAATAACTTAGCAACTTAAATATTTATTCATTTGAGAAGAATAATGAGTTCAAATACCCATAATACAATATTTATTACTTATTAACTCTATTTATAAGAAGAAACGGAAGAAAAAAAAAGAGAAATGCTATACGTCACACGTGTGTTTTTCCCTTCTCAAAGACTGCAATTTTGTGTCTGTCCAGATCAACAATCGGCGTCTCCTCGCTCGACTTTCTTTTGTCCACGACTTGCTTGGGCTCGCTCTAGAATCTTGTTTCAATTTGTGAATCCCCATTTCGTCATCGCCTTGCCGTCCTCGGCAGCTCTCTCACGGTCGGAGACGCCGACCATTTCATTTCGGTGGCGACGTCGCCGCTCCGTCCCTCCCTGTGTCTATCGGTCGTCTTGCCCTCACCACCACCATGGCGACGGCCACCGCGCTCTCCACTCACTCCCGCACCTCCCGCCCCGCCACGCCACCTCATTCCCCTCCGCCACTGCCACCATCTCCCTTCCCGTCCCCTCCCGCAACGTCTAGCTACGGGACTCCGCCTCATGGCCCATGCAGACTCGCGACCTCCGGGGTCCTCGAGTCCTGGCCTTGGCGCCCCATCCCATCCATGCCAAGGGCGGTGCGAATCTGGGAGGAGAACTTCCCCAGGCGCCATGTCGCCAGGCGGTGAGGAACAGGCGCCGCTCTCCCGGCCGTGCTCTCTGGGTGCTTTGCTAGATTGCGGATTGCGTGGTCGGATTAGTGGTAGTCAGCGATGGATTAGCGGCCTTGCATAGCTGATCGATGTAGAGGCATTTCGTGGAGCACATCACGATCCCCTTGAACAAAATGAGCGAACCTTGTCCGTGTCGGCGTCACCTGCAGGCCATTGGTCTTTGTCGACCTATCGCTTTTTCGTGGCCGTGGGTAGACGCCGAAAGCGACACGGTGCTTGTGCGAAAGCGATTGTTGAGACCTTCGGCTATACTGCATACTGGGATCTAGCATGGCAAGGTTTGGATGAGGATGCTAGCGCCACGGATGGAACTGCCGGGGCATTTTTTGAATTAACGCTTACGTCTATAGATCTCGTTTTGTGATGCGATGCTTGTTGATTTGAGTACTTACGATCGATTTACAACCCATTCTCGAATGAATTTAGAAGCATTGCTAGCTAATCTATTTACATGGATGAAAGTATTCAATATCAGCAGGTGCATGAGACATGTAGTGCCTGATTTTGATGCGATTGCTTGTTCACTTTCGGTTTGAATGTGTTCCGATTTTTCGAGGGTGTAAAGTTTGGGCTCCATTTTGTCCATGGGCACTTTTGTCTTTTTATTGATGAACCAGTGTGGTTGCTAATGATATATAGACTGTAGTTTCATGTGCCATGGCATCCTACTCTCTGGAAATGAACATATATTTTAGTCCAGTAAATTTAGTATGACACTTCTACCAAGCTTCTTAAGGATAATTTATTTGATATGAAATTTCTATGCACAATCTGATAGGTATTGTTTTTAGCATACATCGCATTGATTTTTCCTCAAAAGGGAATTAGGGATGGTCAGGCCACCATTATTAGTTGGATGTTTGCTATTCTTTGTTGTCTAGTGTAGGGTGGTTAACAATGTCAACACTATCTGCATTGTATCTATCGATTAATTGTTATCTTTTCTTCACAAGAGATGAATACCCTTAGCCCCTAGGATAATATGTGTGGAATTTGTTAAGACCACGAGCTATCTGTTAGATAATGGGTATTTAATTTTGCACCATTTCTCTGCAGTTTATTGCATTAGTTTTGGTCCTTTAGTGTATTGTTGGGGAGCAGGATGCGGTGTGGTGTATGTGTGTGTGTGGGGGGGGGGTTGATTGAGCCATCTGGTGTCGCAACTGATTGTAGGAAGGATGTGATGTGTTCATTAGCTCATACATGTACATATAGACAGGATCATGCAAGAATGGTCGGTGAGGATTTTCTTGTATAGATCAGATTTGTACTATTTTGTAGATTGTCACTGTCCCTACTAATCTTCCATACTTAGGGAATCGTTAATTTCTCTTTATTGCACATTCATAAGTAGTAAATTGCACTCGTTAATTTCTGAAATTATGGTACCAAACATGTGCAATATCTAGTCGTCATGATGAGTAATATGAAATTGTGAATTCTGTTTAACCTAGTACACTCAATGAGGTACAAAGGGTAGTACACAAAAACATTGAGCTTGTTACATGCTTGTGATTACATAAATAAATTAAAGTGGCACTAAAATTTTGCTTGTGTCTGCTGATCATAACGAGTTGTTGCATGTTTTTGATCACCGCCCTCAAACTTGTTGTGGCTTACGGATCTTTGTTAGCATTACAAGTTTATTTCCTCATCTTTCTTTTGCGGCTTCTTTGGAGAGCCTACAACAATATTAGTTCTCGAGAATCTATTTGTGTATGGTAGCTGCAGTTGATGATGTACATGATTTAGTATTGTGAAATTTAGGTGGATTCACTCGTATTTTGTACAAGTCCATGGAAAAATAGTCTTGTTCTTAACGTAAATTAATTATTGACGTTTATATTACCTAAGTTATGCCGAACCATAGTTTTGATGTAATACTTCCCGCTGCTCAGATCTCAATTACATCTTATTCTTTGCTTGCATTTAGTAATAGATGATGACATGTCAATATGATAGAGTTGAATGATATTAAAGAATCAGTTTGTGAGTTTATAGCCATTCCTAGCCAATCCCCCCTGCACCACATGTAAATTGCATT